TGGCCGAACGCCTCTGCGCAGATGTGAAAAATTAGCTAAAATAAATCTCCAGTTCAATGGCAGATAGAGTTTAAAAACCACAATGTTAACTATCCTGTAGCTAAGCGCACAACTTTCATTGACTCAGAAAGTTGCATTTAACTTTGTTTTTCTCACTTGCAAATTTTATTTCTCTTACGTCACGTGATGTGGTGAATTTACTGTTAGTAGATTCCCAATACCCAGGAAATCTTATCAACCCCTGAGAGGTAAGGAGGAGCCCGAACAAGGCAGATGTTCCTGCTCTTCCCAAAGTAGCAAATCGTTTACCTTGCTGATTGTTTCGAATACAATTTGCATCCAGATAATAATAAAAAAGCATTTGATTATCCTAATTGAATAAGTGTCAGATTGATTTGGAGTTCTGAGCAGCGTTTCAGAAGTATTTCACTGTCGTAATTACATGATACGTGTACCTCTGTCTTTTCTATCCTGCCAGAATCCACGGAGTATGTAACTGGAATAAAATGAAATATCTTACATTTAATTGATCTGGTTGCTCATGTGCTCCAGACCTTGTTTCAGCTGGCTCATGTCAGCATTCTTCAGACTCTGCTCTTCTCTCCTGGCACTTTTAGCAACAAACGCTTCTGTTTTAATCCATGCGGCTTACTGGAAATTGCAATTGCAACCATTGCTGAACTTTTTTAATTATAAAGGAGCAATGATTATATTCTACTTTCCTTTTTTTTTTTAGAAGAATTCAAAGTAATAATAAGTCCTAAGAAGAGTATTCAAATCATTGGGATATCATACACGTCTTTAGAATCAGTAGACAGAGGCAACAGGAAAGTTTGAGTCTGTATGTGCTTGGATACTGCACTTTTTTCAAAAAATATTTGTTGAAGTAATCACAAGCATGCAATAACTCAGCTCACACATCAGGAGGTGGACTCGGAGTCTAAAGGATGTTCAGAAAGCAGGAGTGCAAAATCAATGAAAAATCAGCTGCGATTTTCAACAGAGCTCTACGAGCGGGGACCAGCAGCACAGTTCACAGCTGGTCAGAGGCTTGCCGTATAAACGCAATACAAAAAGCAATTCTATAATATATGTTATAGAATAGTGTGTGTATGTTTTATGTATGTAACACAATTGGGTTTAGGTCTTTATCCCTTTTTCCCGTAAGTATGCAGAAATACAGTCTGAAGCATTTTGATGTGTGGTATATGGGATATATCTGGGAGCAGATGTATTTTGAAGGTTGCATTTATGCTGTAAATCAAAAGGCTTTCGGTTTCTGAGGGCTGCAGAGTTTAGAAGAAATTCCAGATTTGTCTCTCGTCAGTATAAAAAACTTTCCCTCCCAGCTTTGCATGACAGTACATTTTTATTATGTTCCAAGGCAATTATCAGAAAAGTTATCTCTGTGTTTTACAATTCAATACACATAAATTATTGCAAAGGATTACTTAAAAATTACTGCGAAGCATCTACCTGCGTGGACAGCGTATGTGAAAACGGGAGTAAGACGCGTCTGCGTTTGCTAAGCAGGGGCTGAATACTGAGCTCGCTCTCGGCTCTGAATACAGCGCTCCTGCAAACTTTTTAACCAAATCTTGTTTCCAAAGAAAAAAGATCTTTTTAAAAAAGATAACTCGGATAGAGGAGTTTTGGTATCTGATTTCCCCTCTTCTGACTTTGTGAAAGAGTACCTTTGAGGGAATACCCGAAAAGAAACAGTGTGTTTTCATAGCGTTTTGATTTTCTTTACCAGCAACAAAAAATCCCTTCATAAGTAGCCTTGCCTAAAAAGGCACATGTTCCCGAAACTTTTCTGCTTGGGTGACTACGACTTTGCAGAAGTTGAAAGGAGGAGGAAAAAAGGAGTGCTCCGGCTTGTATAAGAAATGAACCTTGGCCCAATCACTTTTTGTCCGTGAATAAGGTAACTTTTTGTGCGTGTGAAAGTTGAAAGCAGTAAGGTATGTGGGTCCTTTCTCTGTACTGGTTCTCAGGAGTCGATCGCGGGGTTTTTCTGTTGGAGCGGGCCTGAAGTTGTGAGATAAAGCAGCTCAGGAAAAAAATGTTCTCAAGCAGATGCCTTTAAGAGACAGAAATCATGAATTTCTTGAATTGCACCCTCTCTGGGGGTGGCTACAATGACTTTTTGACAGTGACAGTAACTCTGCCTTGTCTTTTCGAGCCCTTCTTTGGCCCATTCACTCTGGAAAGCTGCTTAAGCGCACTTAAGCGCATTAGCATTTGGATGCTCGGGGACCGTACTGACCCTCATTTGGAAAGTTTAAATGAGTGAAAGATGGAGCGATTTGTTAGGGCTTTAGAAACCGGCTTTAGAGAGCGGCGGGTTTTCCGCTTTGGTTTGTTCGGGTGCTTGTTCTAATCCGGTGCGCTGTTCAAAGGCGAGCAGACTGATTTGTGACAGTCAGCCCAAAGCGCTCCTTTCTGGGCCTGACCCGATTAGCCCATCCGTGCTCTGCATGCCAACGGCGGCCGCGGCGAGCGCGCCCGGGGCTGGCGGGCGGGCGCCTGACC